AGAGGAAAAGACCTCACAAAAATGAGGTCAACAAAAGCGTTGCATAAAAATTTCTACAGCGGATGTCTATCTACGGACCAAATATTACGACTCATGTATCTGTCAGACTTTATGCATGACCTCGACTTTCATGGGGGATGAATGGATAGGTGAAATGCTTGAGGGTCATCCAACGATTTTTCATAACATGTTTTACATGAGCCAAGTGATGTTTATTGAGCTTTTGTGTGAGCTCCACACTAGTTATGGTCTTTATGACTCTTCAAGAAAGACTTCACGGGAGGTATTAGCTATAACATTATATATTTTGTCACCTAATCAATCCATAAGAGCTGATTCTAAGAGATTTTGACACTCATCTGAAACCATCATTAGATATTTTTTAAATTGATTGAATGCTTTAGTATGCATGTCTTCCGAAATCATTAGAACCGAAGATCAAGTTTTTCAAAATATTCCTAAACAAATGTCTTGTGATCATCGATATCCACCATATTTCAAGTTCCGTTTCATGTTTACTCATTTTCGAAGATATAAAAATTATGAAATCTAAGATAAAAAAGATGTGATACATGATTGTATTTGTGTCATTAAAGGGACACATGTTGATGTGCATTTTTCAATGTTGATAAACTTACGTACATTGGACAGTGTGATTCACCTACATAAAATATAATAGCAGCATGCAACTTTAATATGTGCTTTACCTCCATCATGGCTGGGTGGGGAGGCAACACACACGATAGTCGAATCCTTAAATTTGCCACCTGATCTCGTGTCCACAAATTTCCCTTACCGCCTCAAGGTTGGTTGACAGTATATTAGGTAGTTCGTTAATTTGAATCAAAGTGGCAGTTGGTGGACAAATCTTGTACAAAAATATTATTTAGTGGACGTCGATTATCCATTACAATGAGGATTTTTTTAAGTCATTTCGGACACAAAATATCTCATACCAGAATTTGAAAGAGGAAGTCAAATAGTATTAGAAAGAAAAGAGATGTGTAATAAGTATCACTCATCATTATGAGGTGTGATTGAGATGATGTTTGGTGTTTGGAAGAAAAAAATGGCTCATTCTACCAGATATGCCAACATATTCTTTTGAAAAATAAGTTAAAATTATTTTTGTGATAACGACTCTCTATAATTACATACAATGCCATCATTCACAATTTGATGTTGATTTCGCAAGTGTATATGGGAGCGAATCAATACCTCCAGAAGCATATGAATATCCAATGGGACAAACAATTGCGAATTGTGATGATATCGTCAGTCCAACCATAAGTGATGGAGAAGGTGCGAAGAGATGACGACTGAGTTTCGTGAAGTAGTCACTGATTCCTTACTTAACGTTGATGTATTGTATTGTAATTCACTATCATTGTCGGATGTGTATTGATCTCTTTGAATGTAGATTCTTTAGATAACGGTTATCAGTATTGTTTATTTCTTATAAGAAAGTTCATGTTCCTGTTTTGCACAATGACTGTGGTTGTACTGCTTACATTGATTGTGGTTGCTCTACTTACACTTGATGCACTGATGCTAGGCGTTATGAATGTTAATTCTGGGCTGCTAAAAAATTTCTTACCTGCTTGGAAATTATTGGTCTGCCCAGTAATGTAAATGCATACAAACTGGGAAGTATGTCCTGCATCGTTATTTATACAAGCAAATTGACTTGTTATTGTGAGCAAGAGGCAATACTTAATGTTTTGGACTTATTTACAAAAACATATGCCTGCTTTGTTATTTCTTATGCTGATAGTTTCTTTGATGAGAAACATCACCATTTTTGAAGTAAATGAAGCTAAGGATGTATTTTAGTTTGCACTTTTCTAAGAATTTCCTTTTTGCATACACTCTGTGTGTGCCAATGTTGCAAGAATGTTTAATCATGGATGCAAATGTGTATATTCTTATAACTTTTTGAGTTTTTGGTGCTAAAGATGTTAACCTATGCAAGTTTGAGAAGTTATGTATGTACATCTCCCATATTATTTTCATTGTTCTCGTTAATTTCCCATAACAATTTGTATTACTGGTGGCCAACCTCAGCATTATTTAAAAATCTTTATCATATTAACTTTTCTTCCTCAGGATTAGCCAATACATTGAAGTATTGGCAACTGATTTTTCAGAAAACTGTTTCATGGAGCATTCTAGCTATATTCATGTGGTATAATTACTTTGATAGTTTGGAATAATCAATCATGTAATTGTTGCAATGTGGAAAGAGATGTACAGATGATTATATCAGGAAAATACAACTATCTGTGCCCTTGGGCAATTCTGTTCAGTTAAATATTTCCCAAGAACAAGCTTATAATGAAATACATGAGCTATTGTCTTGATAGGTGATGCCATGGCCATATATATAAATGACATACATGAAGATTATATATACATACATAAATACATACATAAATACATATATTGATATTTAGAAAATTGTTTCATGAAGCATTCTCAATAATACATGAGAAATGAGTGGTATGTATATAAATCTTCCCTTGTTTAATGACATAATCATCGCCTTTTTACCTCACTTTAAGCTTTATTTCGTTGGTTCAAATTGGAAATCTAATTTTCCTTGTTAATTATTATGCTGAGATCTCCTGATTCCATCATGGACCTCTAACCTTAAACTACAGGCTCTATCCAGGCCCGACTTGTATGTCAGATTTGAGGCGTCGATAAATATTTTTTTAACCTGCTTATTTCTCGTCTCTTATTATTTATGTGCTAATGATTAATTTACAGGAATATAAGATTGGAAATCAGCTCAAGCTATTCGACCAGGTTCAAGGGGACGAAATATCAACAAATATTTTGTGATTGCTGTTAGATATTATAGACCTTTTTATTTTATCCTATTTAAGGGTAATTTTGTCTTCTTATATATATATATATATA